ATACATACACAAACAAACAATCTATATATGTATATACCCAGTTAGACACGTCTACTATACATGGCCTCGATTTATATGTTCATTATTTCCCATAGCTACATATATAGAGATATATGTGTGTGTAACATATATGTATATATACATCTATATCTAAACATGTAAGCACAGGTCCACCTACACGTGTGTGTGTGTGTGTCTAAACGTACACACGTATGTACCCCACATACCTGTGTCCACCTGTCTTGTATATGCATTTCATGCATTACATATCCATGTTCGCTATCTGACTATATCTCACGTAAAACTTACATTTCTTTCTCAATACATACGGCACATCATGTCCTTTGGCAGCCGGCACCGTCCCAGCTCCAGGCAGCGGAGCTCCTCCAGCAGCCTGGCCTTCTTTGAGCCTCAGCCGGACAAGTAGTCGGAATGCAGCGAAAATAAGCGAGGGATTGCACAGACCTATCTAGGAGATATATGGAGGGGGACACGAAGAGAGAGGGCGAGAGTGAAAGAGATCCAGAGATAGAACCTACATAAATACATGAATGAGAGATTGAGAGGTGGGAGCCAGGCGCCGCAAGACATGAAAGTACACACATAGAGAGGGAGACTACAATGAAGCTAAGACACATACTCAGATGTGGATATGAACACGACTATAAGAAGCGTGTGCAACGGGCAGCGGCTAGAACAACTATGTAAACTTAAAGATGTGCACACACAGATGTTTACATATACACATACATATGTATATAGGTGGATATCTGTAAGGCACATATGTGGACATACACACGTCTACCCATTGTTTATAGCTAGGTACACAATTATATACGAATGCAAGATGCATGTCCGCTTGCATGTATCTGTACTTGTCCATGTCTGGTTGCTACTATGTCTTGTACACAAAAAGACTTTACACGTGTATATATAATTATGTATGTATGCATATGTGCTGTGTCCTGATGTTTAGGCATGAACTCTTACAAACACTTATCTAAAGAACTTCAGCACTTAATGAGGATGTGTACATCTCTGTATGTGTACAAGTACGAAGACAACTAGATAAGAAGGCAGGTAGCTGGCCAGCTAGATAAATTCTACAGAGACAGATCTAATGTATAGGGATACATAGGTTCCAGGTAGAGGCAATTGGGTAATCATCCCATGGCCAACCTGAGACAATAATTAAAGACACATAGCTCTTCAATCAAAGTGACGTTGCAAGGTATGCCTTCTTCCTGGCTATGATCGCCTGCATCTGCTGCCGGAGAGCACTGAGCTGCTTGCACTTGCCTGCATCAGCAGGCCCCCTCACCCCCATAGGATAAGATGTAAGGCTACATGTCTAATAAGTAATTAGGAACGTATATATTATATACTGAATGTTGCCAACAAGTTACACAAGTCCGGAGGCTTCAAGCACGACTCACAGTTGCCGGTAACATGCCAAGTCGACATAGCATCCTTGTTGGACACTGCCACAGATGCACCAGTAGCCATAACCATTGACCGGTGGAGGGTCGCCTGGGGGTCCTTGGGAAGCTCTTCTACGGAGGATGACTTGTCCTTAGACGGGGCCCCTGAACTGGATGAGGCTTCTGCTGCAGATGGCGGCGATGGCACCTTAGATGAGGCTTCTGCTCGGGACTGCACCTGGGATGAGGCTTTTGCTTGGGATGGCACCTGGGATGAGGCTTCTGCTTGGGCTGGCACCAGGGATGAGGCTTCTGCTCGGGATGGTACCAGGGATGAGGCTTCTGGTTGGGATGGCACCAGGGATGCTTGGGATGCTGCAGCGGTTGAGGCTTTTGCATGCGACACGGCTGTCGGTGGGGATGGCGCACGGGATGTGGCTTCTGGTCGGGATGGCACATTAAGGGATGCAGCTTCACATCCGGATCCTGACCCCGTGGATGGGGCTTCCTGGCATCGAGGTTGCTCCTCAAGCCAACGACGAAAGTCATCGATGTCAGTCTCCTCCTCGACTGCATCATCGCCGGCCTCATCATCTCCCCCCATTGAACTGTTGCTGCGAGCTCGCTGGATCTCGTCATCTGCTGCCCGCTGGATGTTCAGCGGTTTCAGCAATCCCGCCATGTACGCATCGATGTGCTCCTGCATACGGTTACGATTTGGCATTCAGTTACATTGAAGCTATATTAGGCACGCACACACACAATGCAAACATGCTTTTTTTAAGATAGGACTTGTCACTCTCTCTGATGCTTTTTTTAAGATAGGACTTGTCACTCTCTCTGCTAAGCGTCACACATGCTGCATGTGGAAAAGACGAACCAGTCCTGCAGGTCAGGCCTGATGATGAGCAGCAGCCTGTGAAATCGTGTGTCCTGCACAATCCAAAGCTGTGGCTATTCTTTTCTATTACCATAGTCACACATACATATATACACAAGTATGTGTAATCTTCGATCCTCACGTCTATTCGTTCATTGGCACACGTACAATCCTGCACAGCATGCTGTACATGACGGCCCCCTTCTATATACAGCTAGAAACCATGCATTGCAAAGGTCCTTTGTGACCTCCTTCTTGTTTGCCTTCCTTTTGAGGAAGGACAGCATCTTCTTGATCTCACCCGCTGTTCTGTAAGCAAGCTTCTCAGTTGCCTTGACATGAACCTGCTTGAAGAACTTATCTACCTCGTCCTGCAAAGGGGAGATGTAGGGAAGCTTCAGGTCATACTCGTACATGCGCTCCAAGCATGGAATGAGCACTGCCGTATTATCAACAGCATTCACACGGTTGCAGTCGCAGAACGCAGCCCCACGAGGAACCTTCATCAGCAGAGCACGCTCCCGGGCAACAGAGCGCACTTCAGCAGATTGCTCCCATACAGTTGCAAGCCCTGCAACCTTCATAGCCCCTCCATCACCTTTGGCTGCTGCAGCCATCGTTTCCATCAACACGCAGCGTGGCACAAACCCCCTGAAGATCAAAAGCTGCAGTATCAGAACAAGTGCAATGCATCTAGAGAGTTCTGCATGAAGTCCCTCGATCTAGCATGGCATACAAAGCCCTGGTGCAGGCTGCACAGCTGGAATCGTTCATGGCTGATGGCAAAAAATGTCTCTGAGCTCCCAGCTGGTCTGTTGAAGATGTGCTCCGTAGGCCAGGTCCATCGTGCAATCATGTTTTTGTCTAATTAAGTGGCCTAGATATATACTCTGAATGGAGGTAAGATCCAGGTCCATCGTGCAATCATGCTCTTTCTAATTAAGTGGCCTAGATATACACTCTGAATGGAGGTAAGATCGGAGCACTACCCTCGAAGAGCTGCAAACTCCCTTCCGAATCGCAAATTGGCCACTCTCCTGTGAACCCCGATGACGAACAAGGCTGGCTTTTATGGTTTAGAGGGGATTTCCGGGTTTTTTAAGAATCGATGGGAAAACTACCCAAGGGGATGTCATAACCGGGTTATTTATAACCAACCCACAAAAAAGAAGGCAAAAGACTTAGCAGGTAAAGCCCCACATTGGCAAAACATCAGCCAACGTGGTCTCCAAACTAAGACATCAATGGAAAGCACACGACGCGGAATGGCCTGTCAGAGACACCATGACACGAGGCGATTGATTGCTAAGACGGCCACATGTTCAGCTTCAATCCCTGGATGGCAATATATATGGGAGTTTCCGAAAATAGGGGAACCTAATATAGTACCCTAAATAGTAGGATCCATATTATAAGGACCCCCAAATAAGGTACCCCTAATTTCGGAAACTCCTATATGATGTCGCGGGGGCTTCGTGGAGTCCACCCGCCAAGGCTATCCCAAAGATCGGCATGCAGTCCACAAACTTCTCATGCGCAGCGACCTCTAGCAACATGAGGTTGATCATCACTGTAAGAAGAACCACACCGCTCTCGACATGAAAAATCGGGTCGTCCCCCTGGAAAATGATGCGCTTTGGAGCTTTGAAGTCTGCAAAGCCATGACTTTCGGGTTCAACATGGGTGGTTGTCAAAATTAGGGTCCCTTTTGGGGTACCCTAAATATTAGGTGCCGTATTGAAATAAGGACCCAAAAAGGGACCATAATTTGGACAACCACCCAAATGAGTTCAGGGAGGGCGCAAGGCCTGGGCGGCATAGAGCTATCTCTGTCGACTCACCAGTTCGCAGTTCTCATCCCGGCTTAGCTTTTTCCTCAGCCTATGTGGTTTAGGGTTTAGGGGTTTAGGGTTTGTGGGGTAGGGCTTGGGGGGTTTAGGGGGCTTTGCTTTTTGGGGTCTGGCGCGTTCGGCCTCCTGTCCAGCATGCAAGAAATGTCTGTTGCAGGTGGGTGTCGCGGAGCGGCAGGGGTACCCCCGGCCAGCTCTTCGAGATCGAAATACCTGAGGAGGGCTGAGGATTTACAGGGCTTGGGAGCACTTTCTTCGGAATTTGGTTTTTCCCCGAAAGGAGTTCAGGTTTGACCAGTCTATAATCTGGACCTGGAGAGTTTTCTACACTTATTGAGGGTCTCTGTTTGGCCCCCTAGACAGTCAAGGCCACCAAAAAATCACAGCACCGATCTGCCACACCCTTTGAATTTCACTCCAATCTAGGGAAGAAGCAACCTGAGCAGAACACGAAGCCCTAACCCTCCAGGTACCTACTATATAGGGCCCTAGGGGCTGTAGTACCCTATATAGTAAGTACCTGGCAGGTTAGGGAAGAAGACAGATAATCGGTGCGTAAACATACGTCGCTTCAGGACATTCGACAGATGGCTCCCCTTGCCTGCGCGGCAAGGGAACTAGTCCACATCCGACAGCACAGAAGTTGCTTGCGGCCAGGAGTGCAGGTGGCCACCAACCGATCCAGTACCCTGGAGTATGAGATGACAGAGGCCCTAAGGCTACAGGCTTTTTGTTGCTTCATGCGAAGTTGCTCCGTTTCTGTGTCCCACTTTCTGTGGCAGCAACTGCCTGTCAGAGATTAAACCAAAAAGCCTAAACCGATTCCCGTGCAGCTGGTTCCTGCTTTCGACTACTCTCGCGACACGCGCACGGCAGGGAAAGCAACAGCTTTCGGGGTTCAGGGCTCGTGCAGCTTCTTGCGGGACTACGGGACTGGGGGGGACCTTCCTTTAGTGTTTTTTTTTGACACTCACACTCGGACAAGCCAGGGCAAGGTCTGCAGGAGATTCGTCGTCTTTAGGGTTTAGGGTTTAGGACCCTAAGCCCTAAACCGTGATTTTGGAAACCAGCTGCCAAATCCCGGCTTGAGACAGATGAAAACGATGTACTTCGGGCTCAAGGTGCTGCAGGCACTTCACCCAAGGAATCCACCAAGCAGAACTATACGCCAAACCATATTATGGTCAATTACATTTTCTGCGTAATTTGCGTACCACCTTCTCCGACAGCACCCTAACTACAAGTATGGCCTCCTTGCTTGGCGCATCGCCGATGCCACAAACTGCGACACAGGGCCTTGGCAAACCATGCTTCGAGGGTGCAACAGATTCAGCGCACGAACACACGGACGGTGCGTCACTACCGCCATGTTTCGTGCAATATACGTGCACAGTCACTAGACCCATGGGCCCCATAGTGGTTCCTTTCTGGGGTTACCTTATAGGATTCTATATATGAACCCCCAAAAGGAACTACTTCAAGGCCTATGGGTAGACCCTCGTCATTGGTTCGGACTCCGTTTCGTGGCATCAGGAGGGAGCTCCTCCAGCAGCAGTCGTTTTGAGATCCTGCGCAAAGGAACCGCGGAAGTGCTGGTGCAGGTGTTCTGTGCTTTGCAGCTGTGGCTGCCTATATATCTATACATATGTGTATGTGTGTATATCATATTATACATATATATATATATATATAAACCAAGCAGATGTGTGCATATGTGTGTACATGTACAGTGTTGACCTATATGTGTGAGATCTGTGCCCAAACTCATGGAGCAAGGCTGCCAAGCTGCAGGGGCTCGGCTTTGGCTTCGCCACTCCCCGGGCGCACCTCTTGTAAGGGTGGCATAGGGGCCTTAAGACCCACGGTGAAGCTTTTTTGGCGAGTAAATAGGAACTACAGGGGTTCAGTCTTAGGATTATGAATCCGGGCCTGTTGCGAAATCACCAAGCACCGGGAGTGGATTTAGAGCTTTCAGTTCAGGCTTCAGGATGGCAGCTTAGGGTCACAGCTAGGCATAGCCAAACGAGGATCCGAGTACGACGATGAGGCGGGAAAGCCAAGATCACAAGGTCATTGACTCAGGGTTTCGGGTTTAAGGCCACCCACGCGATATGGATGCATGTGGGGGACGCGAGATTCATCTGAGGCGTGCAGTGCGCAAAACAGGCCTTGCTGCAAGCACTCCATGTCGTAGTAGCGACCACTAATGTTTGTGGCCGCTTTAAACCCCAAACCCTAAACCCTAACCTTGATGTTCACTTTCTCCAGGACTGCATCTGCCTTGCGCTCCTCAGTGGACGACGACTTAGGCATGGATCAGGGCTGGCTGCTAGGAATCTGGAAACTTTGGGGATCATACATATTGCTGTCTCTCATATATTCCGAACGGTAGGAAAGTCTGCTGTGGATGTAGGATGAACTTGCACATTTATGAGATCCGGCCAGCCAATCGTTGAGGCCACGCAAAACAAATATTTTTGCGTAAAATTTACCCTTTGGTTATCCTCCGGATCATCCTCCCTGTTTTTGCTTTTCTTTCGGATCATCATTCTTTTTACCTCCGGCTTTTCCTCCTGATTATCCTCCTGATCATCCTCCCGGTAAGTTTGTTGGTAAAATTTTGGTAAAATTTACGCAACATTTACGCAAAATTTACACAAAATTTACCTAAAATTTACCTCCCTCCGGCATTTTCCTTGGATTTATTGAAAATTTATTAGTAGCTAAGGAAAACTGCAGGCGGGAGGTAAATTTATTGGTAAAATTTGGGCAAAATTTACGCAAAATTTATCCAAAATTTACCTCCCTTCGGCATTTTCCTTGGATTTATTGAAAATTTGTTAATAGCTAAGGAAAACTGCAGGCGGGAGGTAAATTTGTTGGTAACATTTTGGCAAAATTTACGCAACATTTACCTCCATCCGCCATTTTCCTTTAGATTAATTGAAAATTTTGTTAAACGGAGGAGAGGAGGATTTGAGGTAAATTTTCGGGAGGCCAAATTTGGGGAGGATAACGGGGAGGATGATCGGGAGGATGATGCAGAGGAAGATTTGAGGTAAGTTTTGGGGAGGCCAATTTCGGGGAGCAAAATGGGGAGGATGATCGGGAGGTAAATTTCACGTAAATAGAGATCAGCCAGGATGAGGGAGAGGATGATGGGGAGGATGATTAAAAGGTATTTTTTTGTAGAAATAATCATTTCCTAGATTACCATTGTTTGGCTGCAACCCGATCTCATAATTGCACATGTTGGCACTAACAGTGCCAAAAAGTGCTGCACAACTCCTTCTGCATGACGCACGTAAAACAACAGAGAGTTTGTGCAAGCAGGCGATCGAACTGGAGTCGGCCGCGGCTGCAAACATGCAACAAAAACGAGCATGAATCTCAGCATGGGCAAGAATGTGGCGACATTCGTACCAAACGTCAGCAGTCGGAGGAGTCGGAGTCGCAGTGTATGTCGTTGTTTTGGTGCTCACATATTAATATTTTTATTATTAATATTAATATTGTTATTGTTATCAAAATTATTCTTAGAAGTAGTAGAAGTAGTGGAAGAAGTAGTAGAAATAGTAGTAGCAGCAGCAGCAGCAGCAGGAGCGGGAGCAGGCGCAGGCGCAGGCGCAGGGGCAGGAGGAGCAGTAGCACTAGCACTAGCACTATAGCACTAGAAGTAGCAGCAGCAGTAGCAGTAGGAGCAGTAGTAGTAGTGGTAGTAGTCGTCGTCGTCGTAGTCGCAGTCGCAGTCGCA